ATGGCGCCGTCCACGATGGTGATGTTGAGGCACGACTGCGGCCGCTGGTACAGGACCGCGTCGTCGACGGGGAAGCCGCGGCCGCCGTTGTCGTGGACCGTGGTGGCGCCCGTCGACGGCGTCGTCAGGTGCACGTGGAACTTGCTGATCCCCCTGCTCGCGTCCAGGGCGGTGGCGAACTCGTACCAGCTGAAGATCTCGCCGAACAGACCGGTCGAGGTGCCGCCCTTGAGCGTGGGGTGCGTTGTGGCGATGACGGCGGAAGTGTTCGTGCCCGCGCGGTCGGCGAACGTCAGGTGTGCCTCCAGGTCACCGCTGCTCCGGTCCGCGCCGGGGGAGACGCGGACGCGTATCCGGCCTTCGAAGCTGATCGTACCGTTGCCGTTGAGCGCGAGCGCCGTCACGTAGGGCTTGATGTCGATGGGCTGAAGGGGTTCCTCGAGCGTCACCGTCGAGGGCACGGTGTCGATCATGCGGCCCAGTATGTCTGCACATTTGGCTTGGAAGACTTCGGCGTCTGCTAGCGCGTTCATGGTTTCGTTGCCGTCGGCGGCGAAGACCCGTTTGTCGGAGTTCGTGGTGTCGTTCGTGCCGACGACGAGTAGGTTCTCCGTCGTTCCATCGAGATACTGCGTTATCACCACGTTGTCAAACTCGGCGAACGAAGTCGAGTTGTTGTCGCCCTCGAAACGAGATACCTGTCCCTCGGAGGTATCGAGCGTGATCTCGGGGAAGTTTGCACCATGGATACCGCCAAGGGTATGGCCGCAAGCTACCATGGTGATCATGTCGGCTTCGGGGTAGATTAGCACATTCTTCAAACCTACTATCAGTCGACGATGATAACGTACTTGTATTGAATCCGGCTTTCGCGAAGATCTCAGTATGTCTGTCGATGTCCTCTTCTGGTTTTGGCACACCCATGGGGCCGGCTTCGGTGGCATCAACCCGGCCAGGCCGAAACTGGATGTCGGGGCCACCACACATCGTCGTGGCAGCTATGACTGACAACCCCAGCAGGTCCGACATTGAAGTCTTGGTGGAATAATAATTCTTCATAAACCCGAAGGTGTTGTTGAAACTTGACCCGATATTCTCATCCCGTCCCAGCTCAAACATGAGGGAGGCGTCCAGGCCCCCGGTGCCCGACGATGCGTCGTGAGTTGACATGTCGTGGTACGCTGTGCGCAGCCATTCTGCTGCGTTCTGACGGCCCGCGATATTCGTTCCAAATGAGCAAGGGGATACCGCTAAGAGATCATCAACATCTAGTAGCAATTATCGGGCAAATGGGGACCGGGGATTACGTACCGTCTATGAAGCCTTGCCGAATGTAGCCGGTCTGGAGGTTCATGACATCCTCGAGATAATCCCATTTTGAAGGCCAAACATATTCGGCGGCGCTCTGGGAGGCTTGTAGTAAGCCGAGAGCAGCGACGGTTGAGGGTTTCATGGCGCTGGTTGCGGGAAGGCGAACGAAGAACTAAAGCAGTGGGTGGTGAACGAGTGAATCTGCAGAAGTCTCCAGGGCCAACTATAACGAATGAATCACCTCGGTTGGTATCCCACAATGACTGTCGCAGTCTCCTGCATCTCGTTCCTCGAGCACCTCTGCATCGATGCAGCAGAGACCTTCGGCCCTCTTTTGTAAAGCATCGTGGAAGGATTCTGGAAGAGCCAAGAGCCCCGATCAGGTGGAGCTCGTTCCCGGAGATCTTTCACAGGTGGATCGGGGTCCATCCTGGACTTCATGCTGCCCACCTCGTGTTGGGATGATGCTTGGCAAGTCACATTTTAGGCGGCAACTACCGCAGCATAGATTGAGCCAAGATATCGTATTTCGGCGACGCCTCCCGTTGCGGTTCATAACTTCATCCTTACCAACCCCTTTCTATGAACACAGCCGCAGCCCCTTCACTTCCCGGTGCGTTTGACGGGTGGCCTTGGCAGCCTACAAGAGTGGATTTCTAACGGTCTCTTCAGAAATCCAATCCGCCCAATGAGAGATTCCACATCGCCTAGGTATATTGCATGCCCGTCTAGGGTTTTGTGTGGATGTTTCGAATGGTGCTGGAAGGGGAAGATTCAGCCTCACTCAGAAGCTTCAGGAGTTGGTTTCCCACCTATTATAGATCAAACCGAACTTGGCCGAAATACTTGTGCTAGTGATGTAACATTAACTAAAGCACACTCGGGAATTGCTCAATGGCAATGCTTCGCAAGAAAATCAGTCTCTGGATATTTGACTTCGGATGTTGGGCCCCATTTCCGGGCATGCCACGTCCTCCGATATCGAACCCGAATTCCGGAGATTTCTTTCGCCCAGGTGAGTGTGCGCAAATAAAAGGTGATTCATTCAAATCAGATCTCCTGCCAACTCCGGCGGCAGAGACAGCCAAAGTCGACGTATACGTGGTCCAACTATTCTGCATCCATCAAGTTGTCGAGATTGAGTAAAATGCCGTCCTCATCTGATTCAGGATCGTGATCTAGGTCGCGCTTCTGACGTCTCTTCTGCTCTCTGAGTGCCCTTATCTCCTCTCGTTGAGTCTTCTGTGCCTTTATTTCCTCCTTAGAGTCCCTAATCGTGACTTTGAGGGTGATCCCATCCACAACTTGTTCGTCTGTTACCGAAACAAAATTGATGAGGGTTGCCTCGTCATTGAATATTGCCCAAGCTCCAACACGTCCAGTGTGTGAGGTATGGGGCTTGTGAAATTCTAGTCTCCGCGCCTTGGAGTCTCGGGTGTCGCCGTATCCAGCGAGAGTGCAGGGGCAGTGGCCTCTCTCGTGAAGGTAACAAGACAGCTTGTACACCGAGTCGATTCGGGAAGGGAGTCGGGTAGCGCCCTCAGCAACGATATTTGCGACGTACATTCGCGTTCGGCGTGGCGGTGTTTCCCAGACATAAAGCCTCGGTCGCCGGCAGGGGTCCGTTTTACCTTCGCTATTCCGGCTCAACTGTAAACCCTCCTTGAGCTCACTATCCATCGACTGGAGGCCTTCTAACAGAGCCAGAGTCCGAATTGCATCGTTTCCAGCGCTATGGCTCCTCCAGCTCGAAGGCCCGCCCCCATCATGGATTGTGTATCCTAGGACAGAGAGTGAGGCACCCAAACCCAACCCCGGTACCATCCGATGTCTTGCATTGTCGAGTACCTTGTTAAGATCCACCCAGGCCGAGAAATGTCGGGCTGCCTGAGAAAACTCGTTGTACATGATTATTAGGTCGGCCGGCATGCTGAACCCAACGAGCATCAAAGGCCTTCTGGCTTTTTGCTTAAAATCCTGGACGACGGAGTCGACATAGCCACCTAACTCGCTGCTGTGGACCCTTTCGAGAGACCCGGCATTAAATCGTTCGTGCTTGCGATACGGGTGACGATCCGTGACCCAGGCACAGCGCGTTTCGATGCTGTATTGTTCTGCAAGCTTTCGCAGGTGGCGTTCCCCTCCACTCGCTGCTGCGACACCCAGAGTCGGCAAAAAAGAGAAACCAACTTCAAGGCACATTTCGGAGCTGTGAGCGGCATGATTGAACTCGGTGTCGAAAGCCACCAAAGAGTACTCATCGCGTCGGCAACAAGCATCAAGCTCCTCTAGTGTTGTGATTTGTTTAGACCACCAAGGCGAAAATGTTTTCGGTGCGGAGTCGATTTGCCACATGCGAGTCGCGAACTTGGATAGCGACGCCATAGTAAGTAAATGGTCTGCCGTTGATGTTTTTAATATTTGGGGAGGTGGTTGGCTTCTTGCTGACTGTATTCTTGACCGGATAAGCAGCTAGAAAAGGCCGTTTCGCGAGGGAATTGTTCTATTGTTGGCAGTGCGGCGCTTCCGGGATGAAGGCCTTAATCAAAAAATCGATAGTTAGCTGTGGAGGGCTGTGAATGTCGTCGAGATCAGCGTAATAATGGTTGATAGAAGATGCTGAGTTTGATTCAGTCCAACGCGGAGGCTCAAGATGTCTGTCTTGCTGGTATGAATTGCTCATGTAAGAAAAGGGTGTGTTATTGCCAGAGAGAAGAGCAAGAAGCTAGGAGAGGTCACAGTCCTTTTTATAGAGCTGGCTTTAATAAATCTCTCCGCAAATGAGCAGGTTCTCATTCGGAAGAAACTTAGAGTTTTGCGGCGCAGTGAGACTCGTAAATGACTCCGCTTGAAAATAGCTCCCTATATCTCTAGGTTAGTAGGATGTATGTTTGAAGCCACTTGTGATAGTACTTACATACATACATATACATATGTATATACCTAGGAGTACATTTGAGTGCGTTTTATTCTTGTAAGCTGATGGTGTAGATGGTGCAATTCCAGTGTGAGTGATAGTGATGGCACCTTAAGCTAATAGCCCTGGAGATTTATGTCCTAACCTTTCCAGGGCTCGGATTCATGAATTTCATAAGGTGCAAGTTACCACCATCAAGGTTAGAACGTACCTGATAAGGTTTTAACTCTCCAGCGTAATGAACACATACCTGGGGTAGGTAGCCTACATACAACTACCCCCAGTGTTGGAGTTACGTTGCCTTTGAGCACATTTGAGCGCTTGACATCTCCGATATTGTGTAAACGACCGCAACTGTCTGTTGCAGTACAGGTCTCAGGGGTGACTTTTCGATATAACGTGGTGGAAATTGAGAAAGTGGTGGGTGCAGAAAGGAGTCGAAAAGCTTATGAGAATTCGGTCACTGAATTTTGGCGAGGAGAACTGCATGGACAGGTATCGATGGAAGTGTGGAATGTCATGGTGGTGTCGCGCAATGTCAGGTGTGCTGGAAGTATCCATGGATGTCGCATGTCATATGTCGTAGCTGGTCCAACCAAAGCCGCTGGGCGTATCACCTGAGCAGACATGGAACGCTGCCCACGCCTATTCCAGGTGAACTGGATAAGAAAAAAAAGACCAGCTAGAATTCGTGATCCAATCTGTACTAACTAAACAATGAATACATGTCACAGACACTTGCGAAGCAAAAAGTTGGAAAAACGAATGAACTTGGACCGGGAGAGGATCGAACTCTCATTAGCCTCAGGGGAATGGGAATGTCTTACCGTTTGGACCACCGGTCCTTGACCATTCGTGATTATTGGGGAGAAGAGGATGAACTCACTTTAAAAGCTACCTCCCTAGGTAGATTCAGTGTGTTAATCCATGCCCAGTCACTGGCTCAACGAGACCGGGAGATAAAGCGGCAGGTGGGGATATGAGAGCACGTTGGAAGCAGGCACGAGTGAGTGGTGACGTTGAAACCAAGAAGACATAGAAGCCGCACCTTGGAATCAAGTTGAGCCAGGGCACCACCTCACTGGCAGCTCATTCCCCTTTTAGGGGCGGGATGCGTCCTCCATAACGTTAGGTACCTGTATGGCTGGGTAGGGACCACATCAGTCTAGCTGGAGCTCAATCGAAGAAGAAGAACAAGGTAACAACGAGGAAAGTATGGGATGGTAAGACCATCCCTTTATCGACAACATGGACAGTTTGCCCTGGAATGCTGTCCACAGCGGTGAGATGCGGCAATTCTCAGACATGATAGGAGAAGACAGCCTGTATATGGGCTTTGGCGTGGCTAGGTACAGGACGTAGGCATGCGCGCGCACATGCGACGCCATGATTCTGGCAGTGCTAAGGAATTGTGTTGCACAAGGGAAACAATGACACATGAGAGCAGGAGAGTACAATACAGAAGCTCCGTACAACCCTCAAGTAAAAGATTGGTGTACCCCCTGGGCAACTGTCGCCGAATATCTAGGTGTACTTGACCCGAAGCTACCCACTTACTTAAGAATGTACCTAGGTATGCGTGTTTAGATGCGGCGGTCTGCGTAATTTCACCTTCGGATAGCTTCCAAGGTTACCACGCTCAAAGACTTCCCCAAGGTCATCACCCTGGGGACGCGGTTTTCTTGACTTAAAGGGGGTATGGAGTGGCATGTGCCTTCCTTGACCCAGTTCTTCTTTCCTTCATCATTATATTCCCGTGATACATCTCGCCTCTCCCCCTCCATTCCCATCCATGATGTTTCTTCCATTTCCATTGTCATCCCCGCTTCAGAACACCACTCAACTGTATCGATTGTTGCTATCAGCCTGGAGGTTTATCATTCTTCGTTGACGTTGGTATATTCTGTTACAAAATACTTTGGTGAGTTCTCTCTTTTCTCAGCCTATGACCAGTGTTCATCCTGCCTGATTGACCTTCACGTCGCTGGTTCGGCTTCACTTCCCACCGGAAAACATCCGCATGGCTACTAAGCATCCTTCAGATCACAGATAACTGTCACAATTACTATGCGGATTCTTCTGTCAAACGACGACGGCTGGGACCAGCCTTACCTAAGGCACCTTTACGAAGCTCTCTGGGAAATGGGTCATGATGCGATCATTTCAGCACCGCTGTCCGAACATGCTGACTCAGGTGGGTGGTGACAATACCTTTAGAGCCGTCTGGTATAGACAACCTGGCTACATGGCTGACCTTGACCAGGAGCTAGAGACATATATGACTATGTTTTCAACACCAACGGACATATTAAGGGTCCTACTGTTGGCTCTGTTCTGCCCGAGCGTCGAGCCTATTACGTCGATTCTTACCCTGTAACGGCAGCCAGGTATGGGTTGGAGATCCACGCTGGAACGTTTTGGCCCCCGGGAAAGTGCGACCTGGTTATAGCGGCCTCCAACTCGAGCTGGAGCGTAGGCGCCCGTGCTCAACAATCTGGAGCTGCCAACATCGCCATGTGGGCTGCGATGAGAGAAGGCATCCCAGCGATTGTTTTCTCGGGTCAACACGCAGAAGATACCGTCTCCATCGAGACCAGAACCGGTCTGATTCTCTGTCTGGTTGAGAGGCTTGCTCAGAGGGAAACTCCATGCTTGCCCCGATAGGTCTGGCTCAACATCAATTTTCCGAGAAGCATCAGCGCCCGCAGATTGGCAGATTATACATGGATATTAGCCAGACTTGATTACGATGGTGGAGACGTTCTTTTTCGAGACGTCGGGGATGTAATGGACCCCGTCTTTGATTTATATGATGGCATCAACGAATTACCCAGAGAGCAGGAGGTTCTGAGACGCGGACGCAACCGAATTGCTATCAGTGTCAACGGTGCCGGACGCGACCCTTATGTACAGGCAGGGGGGTTGGATCAGTGGTATGTGCGAAGTATCCTCGACGCTGTCATAGGTAGAAGCGTTTCCGGAGATTGAGACGCTCGGGACGAGATCCTATAAAGTATTGAGGAGTCTGAAGCCCGAGGGGAGCAGTGGATCACGAGCCGGTATCGAGCCGTAGGGAAGCTGAGGATGCCCAGAGGCAGAGAGCACCCAAGGTTCAGAATAGATGGTTATGGGCGAAGAAGACAGCTCTCATTAATCTATGATACTTCGGAGAAAGACAGCTGCTCGGTGACAGACTTCAATGCAGGTACTTCTTAACACAGACCCAGGGTTCTAATAAGTTGGCTCGATTGCTGAGTCTATTGACGTCCAAAAGGGTTCGAGCTGCTCGTCCGGCACTATATCTCATTATTCGTATTGCCTACTGTGCTATAAGCAACACCAAACATCTTCCTACCTAACTACTCAAGGTGGTTAAAATCACAATTTGCTTTTCTTTTCTTTTCTCACTCACGGTTTTGAGATCCTTTACTCCGAGCCTAAACATAAGACCAGCGGGAGATAGAGGCACGATGGCCTCAAAACTTCATACTGACTCATCACCATCCGGTAGAAGAAAAGGTCTTTCTACCTTGGATGCCGAGTTCTTCTTCTTCCTCTCTCTCACATCACACACACACACACGCTCATCCATCTTCATGCCAACTTACACAAATCAGCAGCAATGATGAACACGCTTCAAAAAAGGATGTCAAGTTAGTTATATCTTCGTTGTCTGCAGTATCCGTAAACATAGCGTACCCGACCTCTGCGGTGGCCGGATTGGATGCCGCCAACCACTAACCCCTGAGCTCGTTCGCTCAACCGAAAAGCCACAAGATCCATATAACCACAGTTCACCGTAAGCACTATCAATTAACGTCTTAATTATGCAAAACGTGAACAGAACACAAAGAGAAAAATAGGGCTTAGTCTTTTCGAACCTTTTCACCACCGTACGCAAGCGCGAGGTTGTGCTCCCTCCTACAGCGGGATCTGTTTAAGTTTGGCAACTTCATCGCCTTGGATAACTACCTAACCATCGTGTTGGTAATGAATAAGGAGACTATTGCCTTTCCGAAATAAGGAGTTACCCGTGCCCACTTTTCTTACTACCTACGCACACATTTTTCGGAAAACCACAATAAAATCATTTTTTTAATTAATTTAATTATAATGCCATTATTTAGCCTTTTTATAATTATTTTAAGCTTTAATATTATATTTTATAATATTTTATAATATTTTATAATATTTTATAATATTTATAATTAATATTCCGATTTTTTTTATTATTTATAAAGCGTAATAAATAATAAAAAAGGTTACTATTTTATTAATATAAAAATAATAATCCTTAAATTATATTTTAAAAAGTATAATAAAGCTATAAATAAAAAGCTTATAAAGCGTTTTAAATATTTTATTTATATAATATAATAATATAAAATTAAATTAAAAGTTATTAAAAAAATAAATTATACAATAAAATTATAAAGCGTTTTTATTATAATATTTTATATTTAACGCTAATTACGTTAAATATAAAAGATTATAGCCCTTTTTATTTAGCTTTTAAATTAATTTTTCGTTTTTTTAAATATTACTATTAAAGTTCGCTTTTAATTTTAACTTTTATTTTAATAAAATATAATAGTTTTTTATAAAATAATATAATATTAAAATATTAATTTAAATTATTTTTAATTAACTTAAAAAATCGATTAAAAAAATAATAAATTAAAAATATATATTTTTTAAGCCGATTTTATACGTTAAAACCATTATTATAAATAAATTATAAAGTTTACGTTAAATATATTTATATTTATTATCGAATTTAGGGTTAATAAATAGTATATATATTAATAAAATAGCTAAGCTTTTAAAAATAACACTTTTTTATATAATTTTTTAAACAAAAGAAACGATTTAATATTTTATTAGTTTTTATAATAAAAAATATTATTATTACTTTTATATATTAAGGCTTTATTAATAAAAAAGGGTTTTTTATATAATTTAAAAAATAAATTATATTAAAAATATCTTTTTTTTTAGTTTATAATTTATATTAATTATAAATAATAGGTTTATTTATTATAAATTTAAAATATTAAAGCTTAAATAATATTATATTAATCAAATATAATATTTACCCCCTTATTTATTTAATTTTAACCTTAATAAGGCTTATTTTAATATATTAAAAGCTTATATAAAATATTATAATAAATATATTAAATTATAATGTAATATTAAAAAGAAATTTAATTAATTTATCAGGGATTATATTATCAAAATAAATTAAAAAAATAAGTAAAATTAAAAGGCATTTTAAGAAAGCTAATATTAATTGCGATTTTTATAATAAATAAATTATATTTTTTTATTTATATATATAATTTAATAAAATAAATATAATTATTATTTTTCTTATTTTTAAAAGCTTTATATATTAATTTTTATGTAAAGATTAATATATAGCGTAATTTATTATATATATATATATAAAATAATAAATATAAGTTATTTTTAAACCTTTAAATTATAGCCTTTTATTTTTTTATTTATAATTATAAAAATCGATAAAAAACGAGCTTTATATATTATTTAATAAATAAATTAAAAAGTTATAATAAATAATAAAATAAATAATAATAAAAGGGTTTAATTTAAACTTTTATTATATAAAAAAATTATAAAAAAATGCTTTAATTAAAAGTTAAATTTAGAACCTTTTAATTTTATCTACCTTTTTTTATAATAATATTATAATAATAATAAATATTAATTATTTTATTATTAAATTATAAAAGCTTTTTATATTTTTTAAATAATTAATAAATATTATAAATTATAAAAAATAAAATAAATATAATAATTTATATAATAATAATAATAATAA